TATTTAGTGAAATAATTGATGTGATTCAAACCCATATATATTTAAAACAAGGTATATTAAAAAACTCTTTCTAAAAAGTCTTTAACTCTTTAATGAGACCAAAAAAGCTAAAAGGTATATTTTGTTCTGTCATTTGCGATGTTTCAATGTTTTGGTCTGTTTAACATCGCTCACAAAAGCTTTGAATGCGGGAAAAGATTCGTAGAAGGCGCAAATTATTGGTTCATTCAATTCTCAAAGATATCTTTTGTCAATGTTGCTCAGTGTGCAAGGATTCATTCTTACATGAGTTTGAAGCCTACATAGAATATTTTCCAACCTCGTATAACAAGAAATATTATCATAAAAGATGTTCTCTGCTTAAGAACCAAGTTTGGTTAGAATTGTTGTAGTGTACCAGTAGTTTCTCTTACACAACAACAAGGGTTTTTATCTTTACACAGTTTTCTTGTGCAATTATTTATGAGAATTCGCTTGCTTTATGGTTCACCCTGGTCATAATGAATAACTCTAATTAAAAATTTTAATATTTAATTAGTTAATAATTTTTACGCAAATTTTTTCGATAACACAACTAAATATAAAATTAGCAAAAAAGTTTCAAAATAATTTTATAACATTAATTTTTATTTCGTCTCTTTTTCTATTTTTATTCGCGAAAGTTTGAAAGGACAGAACCAAAAGCCAAATTTGGCTTTTGCCAAGTTTAAAAGGACAGAAGTCCTTTTAAACTTTGCATTTACAAATGCGCAATAAAAAATCCGGGGGATATTTAACTTTTCGTTGTTTTTTTTGACGGTTACCGAAGTCTATTATTACGCCATTTTTTTCGGCATTTCGGCTTTTCGGCGTTTTAGAATTCGGCTTTTTAGGCGATCCCGTATTTTATTGGGGGTAGGTACAATGGTAGGCTTTCTTGTCAAACCGTTATTCCGACGCTGTCCTCAAGGTCCGAAAATGTAAAAAAACGACTTTTTTATTTAAAAGAGAACCTGCCTACTCCAAACCCTCAGTCGTTGTTTCCACACTCCGCTGCATGTTCTCTCTAAAAATCAGTCGGTGTATGTGCACACCGCAGCGCAAATCCCCATATACCCCATTTCGCCTATTTTCAAGAAATACAAGCTTGCGGACGCAAAGGAAGCTCAACGTCGGAATAGAGGTTTGACAAGAGAGCCTACCAGGTACAATCGGCGGGGCGGGGCGGATCGGCGGGGCGGATCATTTTAACGGTACAAACGGCGGGGCGGATAATTTAACCGTTGCTACCATTTTATAATGTCATACTTCATTAAATAAAATAAAATATAAATATAAAGTCATATAATCATAAAGTCATATAAATATAAAGTCAAAATATAAAGTCATACTTCATTAAATAAAATAAAAAAAAACTTTTTTTTTTATTTATTTAATTGATAAGTATTTTTTTATAGATTCAGATATAGTTTAAGTTCATTAAAGAAATAATATTTAAAAGGTATTTGCAAATTATAATTTTAATAAACGACGAAAAATATTATATAATTTTAAAACCATTTTTACAAAAAACAACGTGATCCGCCAATTTATATCAAGTGATCCGCCAAACTTTACAAAGTGATCCGCCAAATATTTCGATCGATTAAATCAAACTCTTAAAGTTTTAATAATTTTCCTACCAAAATAGAACGTGATTTTCCATTTATCCGCCATTTATCCCCATTTATCCGCAATTTATATTTACTTATATTATAAATTGGCGGATCACGTTGTTTTTTGGTTGAACAATCATTAAAACTTAAAAAGTTTGATATAAGCAGTCAAAATATTAGGCAGATCACTATATAAAGTTTGGCAGATCACTTGATATAAATTAGTGGATCACGTTGTTTTTTCGCAAAACAATCATTTAAATTTAAAGAGTTTGATATTAGCAATCAAAATATTAGGCGTATCACTATATAAAAGTTGGCGGATCACTTGATATAAGTGGCGGATCACGTTGTATTTTGGTAGGAAAATTATTAAAACTTTAAGAGTTTGATTTAATCGATCGAAATATTAGGCGGATAACTTTGTAAAGTTAGGCGGATCATTTTGTAAAGTTTGGCGGATCACTTGATATAAATTGGCGAATCACGTTGTATTTTGGTAGAACAATCATTAAAACTTAAAGAGTTTGATATAAGCAATCAAAATATTAAGCTGACCACATCATAAAGTTTGGCGGATCACGTTGTTTCTTGTTAGAACAACGTGATCCGCCAAACTTTTTCGTAGTTTATTAAAATTATACTTTGCAAATACCTTTTTTGTTATTAAAATTGTAATTTGCAAATACCTTTTAAATATTATTTCTTTAATGAACTTAAAATATATCTAAATTTATAAAAAATACTTATCAAATAAAAAAAAAATTAAAAAAGTTTTTTTTATTTTATTTAATGAAGTATGACTTGCATTAGCAACGTTTAAATTATCCGTCCCGCCGTTTGTACCGTTAAAATGACCGCCCCGCTGATCCGCCCCACGAATTGTACCTACCCTTTTATTAACTTAAAAAAGCATTAAAATTATGACTATGAATTAAAATTATGATTAGGTCGCCAATTAGCTGAATCAGAAATTCAGAACTTCATAAAATGAGCTTCATAAAATAAATTCAGAACTTCATAAAATGTAATCAAAAAAAATAAATTTTTTTTGATTACATTTTAAGTATGATAATAAGAGTGCTCGAAGTGAAATCCGTGCTATTTTAAAAACATCTAAAGAAAAACAATGCCCTTTTAACTGTGTTTTTTCTGAAATAAAATATTTTAAATTACAGAATTTTTTTTTCTAAATGTAAAATATTTTTACAACTTTTATACAGAAAATCTTCTTGGTGGCCACACCAAGAACGTCTGATTTTGAAAGCTATCAACCCGGGTTAATTTCTGGGTAGCTGGTCATAGGTCAACTCAAACTTTCATTCCTCAGGGTTCAATAAATGAGGACACATTTATTCGTTCACCTAATTTTTTAATGAAGGGGTCCCGAAAAAGTGTTGTGTCTATAATCCATGTTGTTCTAGATCAGGCCCTGGGTGAAAGCATGCATAAGTGCGATTTGGTTTGAAGTGCTCCAAAGTTGTGCACTTCTTTATAATAAATGAATTTAACAAGAATGAATAAATTGCCGAGCGATGGATAAAGAAGTTTTTTTTGTGGCTAAAGACTCTGCCACTTCCGCCTACTCCTCCCCTTAAGCTGTCATTAGGGCCCCAAAATCTTAAAAACCTATAATTATGCACAGTCAATTACAAGCGTTATGTTTATGAGCCCATGTTCAAAAAGTTCATAAGAAATTTCAGAGATTTTAAAATGGCTGCGGATCTTAGCTACATAATCTTTTTTATATAGCAATTTTTTTAATTTTGGTTTTGTAAAAATTAATGCTGCAACTTATTTATTAAATTCGTGATGAATGAAGTATTTGAACCAAAAATTGTTTGTAGTATTCAAACCTAGCACCCAATTTTTTCATAAATGAAATAACATCAATAAAACTGTATTAAACTAGCAATATATTTTTCTAAAGTTAAATAGATTGTAATAGTAAAAAGCAAATCTCTTTTAATATAAATTTTATTTCTCAAACATACTACAAACACTCTAATATGATATATTATGTCGGGCGATATGGATTTTACGTCGTTCAAGAGCGATTTTGCGTGAGCTACGTCTATTTGCGTCAAGCAAAAAATTTTTTAATTAAGTATATTTAAAGATATTTTTGAGCGGAATTTTAATGAAGTAATTTATGATTATTTTAACATTTAATAAAGTATTTTAAAAACCGCATGCAGTTGATATAAAAGTTTGAATTACAAAAAAATTAAATATGCTCATTATTTACAAGTAGAAAAAATTCAGATTAAAAAAAAGTTTTAATCTTTTTAAACATTTTAATAAAATTATTCAGCAATAGCTTTTTACTAAATATTGTTCAATATGCAAATTTTTTCGCTGAAATATGTCTTTTATACCTATAAGATTTTTATTCTAACATTTTATTTTATTTTACTAGAAATAAAATTCCTTGTAAAATCTATTCAAAACGTTTGTTAAAGTTTTTTAGTAATACGAGTGATTGTGCTTATCAACCGCTTTATGAAAATAAATTAAAAAAAAAAAAAAAAATTATATAAAATGCTGGTAAAAGTATTAGCTATTGCACAGTTTTTAATCGTACAATATTAAAATTTCCAGTTTATTACTCGCTGACTTTTTAAAAAGAAAAATTAATTATTTGAAAAACTTTAAATTACATATTTGAGAAAAAAAAAATCAAATATTAGCATATTTTATAATCTTTTTTAAATGTTTAATTATGTTTTTTATTCGTTTAGTATAGACAAAACGTTTCAAGCGTCGAGAAAATAAACAAATGTTTTTACATTTTAAAAACGAAACATTCCAAAACATTTTTAAATAATAACATTTCTACATTAATGATTAAAAGTAGTTTTGCGGTAATTAAGTAAATTGGTGCTGATAAATATGAAAAGCAAATAAAAAGAATTTAATGACGTCAAAACTCACGTCGTGCTTATGCGTCGCACAGTTTTTATTCATCGCAAGGTCTGTATATACTTATAATTTATGAACCGATAATTTTTTATGAATGTCTAATCTTAAAACAAGACATTTAAAATAATTTACTTTCAAGAAAATCACTTTAATTCTAATATTCTTTTCTTTCTATTCAAAATTATCAAATTGTGTGCTCTTGTTCATCTATTAAATTGTTTATTTGTCTGAAATCACACACTCGTTATAATTGTTTTAATATTGTTATTGCTATTACTATGTAATTGGTTTTTACTTAAGATTAGTATATGTGCTATTTCTAAATATCCATGTGTATGTTGCATACATACACATATATGACATATATGTGTGTGTTTTCTTTTAAGCAAATGCAAGTTTTCAAATACATGCAAAGTAAAGTAAGTAAAGAAAACAACACTTTTTAATTAGTAAATTTAGTATAATTAATTAATTTTATTTTTTGCATTTTTTATCCTTATTTTAATTGATCAAAGTATAGAATTTTAATTTATCAACCCGGGTAATTAAATTTCCAGTTGAAAGAGTTGATAGAGTTGCAGCATTTTTAGAGAAATATCAATGTGTATCCTAATAAGCTATTAGTAAGATTTTTTTTTTTCATTTGTGATTTCATATATTTATTGGATAAAATGTAATAGTGTTTCAAAATCACAAATCCTTTTTTAAGTGAGAAGGTGTTTTCAAAACTGCCATGTCCTCTAATGGGTTATTCTATAAGTTTTCTCTGCTTTATAAAGTTGTATGCTTTTTTTATTATTATTGTTATTATTTAATTCAGATTGTTGGCGACATAGCTCATGTATTAAAGTCTTCTGTCACAGTTGACTCAGCAAGAATGAAGACATTGATACACTTTTGCATTATGAAATACCCAAGTTGGCAGTTCCTTGCCCACTGCCACCCAAATACAGGTAAGTATGCATGCATACACAACCCTCAAAATTAGTAAAACTAAAGTGAGTAATAAATTTTTGACCTTAAACTGTTTTAGGTTGGCACCAGATTACAATCGGCAAACAAAGCCATTTTTACAAAGGTTTTACTATAAAAGATAAAAACGAGGTCAGCAAAAAATTGCCAACCTCAGGCATTTTTTATGTTTTTGCTTGGTTAGGGTTAGAGTTAGTTAAACTTATTTATATATATATAAATTTTGAGTTTGTAAAATTTATTTTCAGATTTAAAAAATCCTTATCTGTACGTAACAGACGACATACAAAAAGACTTTTCAGATCATTTAAAAATCACTAAAAGAGAGAACCATCGGTACTATGGAGACGAAGTGATTATTATGTGTGGCAAAAGACTATTTTATGAAGTTTTCTATTTTCTGAATTCGTGATGGAACTTATTAGAAAACACTTGTCATGGACATGGGAGGAGTATTGCCGCTACAAGCATGAACAATAATAAAACATTCCAAAGAACAATTTGTTATTTCAACGATTAGATTTGTCGTATAAATGTATAAATGCTTTTTGAATATTCTTATTATATATCATTCTAATTTCAAAATGATGTTTCATTTTTTTCATAGAAAAGTACTTTTGTAATATTGTTTTATAGTTCAGGAGAAATATTATTGAAACAAAAAAACAGAATCTTATTTTAAATAAAAATAACATTGAAAGTAAAAAATGATTTTTTTTTTAAGGAATATAAGTTCTTGAAACAAGAAAAAAATACATAATTTTAAGAATATAAGTTCTTGAAATAAGAAAAAAAAAATCTTATTTTAAGAATATAAATTCTTGAAACAAGAATAAAAAAATCTTGTTTTAAGAATAAAAGTTCTTGAAACAAGAAAAAAAAAATATTTAAGAAAAAAAGTTCATAAAACAAGAAAAAAAAAAATTTATTTTAAGAATAAAAATTCTTGAAACAAGAAAAAATATTCTTACGTGGCGGACAAGTCATATTTTTCTTGTTTTAAGACTTTTTTTGCTTAAAACAAGACTTGGATTTTGCTGTGTAGTGATGGGTTTAAATGCACTTTTGCATTTAAAATTGTTGAACCTGGGGCAGCAAGATTGATACGAGTATTGCATAAAACATTCTACAAACAAAATAGCGATAGATAGGATATTATGGCAGGATATTTCTATTCTTTTCAATTCTGCGCTGTATTATCATTCTGAACCTATTAAAGAATTCTTATGTCAACGAGTAAATCCTGAAAATCTGATAAAGGTAATTATAAAATCAAAGGTAAGGTAGGTATGAAAAAGTATCAAATTTGTTATTTTCAGCTAAATCTCGTGCACTAGATATTTTTGATAAGCTTATCACTGGCCTACTCTACAGACTCAATGAAGGAAAAAAAACATTCTTAGTACGAGTAGATTTATTTGATGATGATCTTCAAATGTTATTATATCTTCTAAATGATGATATCACAAAATTACTATAAAATAAATATAGTTTTCTGAAGATCTCGGAGTGCATATATTTTTAACTGTTTGTGTTCTAGAATGTTTAATATTTCCTTTATTATTCTATAAAACGTCTTTCTATGCTTGGATGTCTTCAGATTCGGTTCTTGATAGTAGCTTCTTAGTTGTGTCGGCATAGTATTAGGTAAAAGATCACTCTAATCGATATTAACAGTGTCCCAAACTAACCAGGAAACAATCGGATTTTTAGTGGACCTAAATAGCGGACCGCTGTTGTTTTGCTCATCGTTTTGCTTATTAACATATCGGAAAGTTATCAGCTTCCCATTTATAGCGGCTGCCTCTTATGGTCCACTAGTAATCAATGAGCAAAACTCCAATAAACCGCTAAAAAATGCCTTTATAGGTCCACTGCAAATCTACTTAAACAATGTTTGTTGGGTATACGTGGTATTGGTGTAATTAATAGTTCGGTTGGTGTATTTTGTTTACCAAGTGCTTGAAGAATTGCATTTTAGTGTCTAGAACAGGAAAGTAAACTTTCTGTCTTAGTAGTGAATTGGTTTTCTCGAGTCCCATGTGACTATTATGTGCGAGTTGTATAACCGTAATTTCCAGTGATCGTGGAATCACAATTTGATTTGATTTTAAGATAATGTCTAAGGTTTGGTTTACTGTAAGTTCTCGGCAAATATTAAGGTAAGTAATTACTTATTTTTGAATTTATTTTCATTTCCAAAGGACAATGTAATAGTTTGTATAGGATGTAATAGTTTATGCTAACTATTAGTAGTAACTATTTCTGTAAGTATTCGTAGAATAGGATCGGCTTTGGTTTCTCTTTGAATATCTAGTAATGAAAAGGCTTCAGTATATTTGTATTTAGCCGTAAAACACATCTACAGGGTGTTGATTAGGATATTCATATATATTATTTTTCCTTGGACTTATTAAAAGAATATTCCGGTAATTGTAAAGTCATACGCCTAATGCAAAGTTTCACTTTAGCATTTAGATTGTTTAAAGCCTTCACAATAATTTTGTGACCACCGTACATTTTAAAAAAGAGTAGCGTTGTTGTACAGGCATTAGCGCTTTTGAATTATAAGATTTTAGTTTAAAGTCTTGTTTATTTGGCGTATTTTGTAAAATGACTGCCAATATGCCGACAAGACTTCCATTGGTGAAGACTGAAGCCTCTTGGTTGGAATTGAAGTATCAAGTGCATGAGTCATGGCGTCGCTTCGTCTGTTAAAGATATTTTTTTACTATTGTTTTTTACTATTATTTCATTATTTTTTTTATTACTATTATTTTCCTTGCCGTATAATAATATTTACATTGAAATAATAATTTTTTTGCAAATACCATCCAAGCAGATATTACAACCACTAGAAGTATGATAAGATATTAAAAAAACAGATGCCATAAATCTGAAGATGATCAAAACAAATGTAAGTGAGCAATGATGATTTTTTCAGTTATTTTAGTTTTTGATCATGTTTTAGATGAAGTATTATAATTAGGTTTTCATTATTCCTTCTGCTTCAAGCTTTGACAGTTTACCTTTTTCTCTTATTGCAAAAGGAATTCTTCTTTCTCTTTGTGCGACTGCTGGTATACTTTCAATAATTTTTTATTTTACTTGATAGTTAGAAAGTGTACCTATTTTATCGTTACAAACAGTTTTTTCATATGAGTTTATAAGTGATTGTAATCGTTTTGGAGCGTTTACAATAAAAAGTATTGTTTAATTTACTAACGTTCTGCAAGGAATGATATTTTTTTTTTTAATTTTTATTTAGGTGCCCCAAGAAGTCCTTTCGGTCTTATCACAGAGCACCGCAGAAGAGCATTTAATAGAAAATTTATGCCTCTTTTCTAAACCGAGTTTACGCCTCCTTTTGAATTCTGGGTCTTATGTTTTTTGAGGCAAGTGCGCTACCACTGCGCCACGGCTACTCTTTATTGCCGCCATAATTATTTTGTAATATCTTTTGTCCTCCTTGGTCTATGTTTAATAGTTTCTCATTGGCGTCAGTATGCACGAGAGCTTTATTTAATAGTATTAAACCAAGTAATTTAGTGTCGTTTCCTGGAAATAGATTTTGTGGTCCGTTTTAATTACGTGGAATGTGAACTGAAGTAATTTGGTTTCACTTTCTATCACAACATTAACCTGCCCTTCTATTTTAAGCTTTGGATTGTTATTCCTGTATGTTTTAAGTCTTTTAAGGAAATTGTTTATCTTTTCAAATGTTTTAAAGTTTAGAATATTGATAGAGGTTCCGGAAACAATTAGAACTGTTATTTATTTCCTATGTTAATTGTTACCTCAAAGTTTTCGACTGCTTTGTTATTTATCTGAGTTAAAGTCTCCTTGGTTTAACTTTAATTGAGGATTTTTGGATTCGTTGATATCTTTGTAAATTATATTTAATGGAAATTTTTTTTTTTTTTACTGTATTTACTTCATTTTGTTTTATTTTTTCATGCCTAAGTTCTTGTATTTGATTGTCCATCAACTCAAATACTTTCACAATAGTTAAAAAATTTCGTTTTTCTTAGTTTTGAAATGGTTATACGAAGCTCAATCTTTTGTTAGTTTCTTTATCCTTATCAGCAAACTTGCAGAGAGCTTGTTCGTGTAGTTGAACAAAAAACTGCTGAGTGGATTTATCTGGACGTTGATTTCATAGCTCATAGTTTACTTGGGGTTTGAAATACTTATTAAAAGCTTCAACAGCTTGCTGATATGTGATTAACGTATCTTGAGGTATAATATTTTTGTAAGTTTTGTAAGCTTTATCCCCAATTAAAGTAAGAAGTAACGAAAGTTTTTGCTTTCATCCACCAACCAGTAAAGCACTATATGAGTTAAATACATCGCTAAAAGAGAATTTGTTACCGAAGCGAGAACGAATTTCAATAAATTTTAAATTTCATAGTAAAATAATTTAGCGTTCAAAAATTATGACCATATAAAATTTTTGAATGCTAAATTATTTTACTATGAAATTTAAAATTTATCGATGAATATAAGTCTAGTTCAAAATAGTATAAAAATTATTTCATCAATTTGTTGCTCTCACGTTTGGAGCAGGGGGGCAAAAATTTTGGTGCTTTTTTGTTCCCAACCTCCAATCATCACAACTTTTTGCAAAACATCTTTATTTGACACAATTATAAATATATAAAAGTTTGGAGTTTGCTACATGTCTGGAAGTTAGCTATCTCTAAGTTCAAAAAATGTTGGATCCACCCATGGCCCCATGATGTAGCAGAAGTGGAATCCTTTTCACGCTCAAATGCCTCTCTCCAAGCAATCAGAGAATGTTGGTTTGATATCAAATGGTAGTATCGTAAACAAACAATTCTACCTGAGATATAAGAATATCTGGAATATTGTTAATGTAAATTAAAATAAAATATGCATTTTTAAAGTAAAGGGCCAAGAGTAGATTATAGGGCCAAGGATAGAACCTTGAGGAATTCCTGAAGTTATAGGATATAAAGAAGAGTGCTATCCATCGAGAACAACTTTTATACGATTGGAAAGAAAGAATTCAATAATCTTAAAGATGCTACCTAATACACTGTACGAAGAAAGCTTACGGAGAATACCTGCATGTCAAGCTTTATCAAAAGCTTTGGAAATGTTTAGAATAATAGTCTCTCCACATCTATCTAATGCACAATAAAACCTATTGGTCATTACTGTTAGCAAATCTGATGTAGAAAGAGAAGATTGATATCCACATTGATATTCAGAAAGTAAGTTATTAGATTCAAGATGAGAGATTAAGTGTTTTTTTAATTAAAGACTCAAAAACTTGCTTTTGATAGGAAGAAGACTAATGGGACGGTAGTTTGACGAATCGGATTGCTCTCCAGAATTTTTAAAAATAGGGATAACAGATGCTGCTTTCTAGCAGGCTGGAAAACAAGACTCTGATAAGCACTTGTTAAATAGTTTTGAAAGGTTAGAAGACAGCTCCGGAGAACACTTCTGCAAGACTATAACAGATATGTTGTCCGGGGCGCAAGCCGTAGAAGAGTCTAAGCAGGAAATCACTTTAAATACAAAAGCTGGAGTGATATGGATGTCAAGCAATGGATCAA